GTGTGTGGGGGTGGAAAGCTGAAGAGTGAGGGGGAAATAAAGGTAGGTTGATGATTGGCTGGGAAGGAGATAGGGTTGCCAACTGCAGGTGGGAAATTCCTGGAGATGTGAGGGATGGAGCCTGGAGAGGGTGAGGTTTCAGGAGGCGTGGGACCTCGGACAGGTACAAAGCCATAGACTCCACCCTCCAAACCAACTATTCCCTTCTGGGGAACCATCGTTGCCAATCTCCAGGTGAGGGCTGGAGATCACTCAAAATTACACCTGTTCTTTAGGTAGCAGAGATCAGTTCCTCTGGAGAAAATGGTGGACTCAGTGTCATTATACCCTGCTGAGGTCGCCACAGCAAATTGACACTGAGTGTCCAAGGCCAGGGCACCCGCCCAGAGCCTCTTTTTGGAGACCGTTGTATTTATTTTCACAACAAGCCTTTTTCTCGTCCACACTTTAAACCACTCTTGTAATTCTATATTTCGTGCTATATCACATGCCCAAGATATCATTGTTGGCTTCACCCATTCATCTTGCATTTTATACTCCAATAAGGAGTTATAAATTTTACCGATAACTTTTTTGTTATTTTTAATCCATATCTCATCTAAACCTACTATAAAAGTTTGTAGCCACCACCACCTCCTGTGGCAGTGAATTCCATGTGTTAATCACTCTTTGGGTGAAGAAGTACTTCCTTTTACCTGTTCTAACTTGACCGCTCAGCAATTTCATTGAGTGCCCACGAGTTCTTGTATTGTGAGAAAGGGAGAAAAGTAGTTCTTTCTCAACCTGCTCTATCCCATGCATAATCTTATAAACCTCGATCATGTCACCCCTCAGCTGTCATTTCTCCAAGCTAAAGAGCCCCAAGTGCTTTAACCTTCCTTCATTGGGAAAGTGTTCCAACCCTTTTATCATTCTAGTTGCCCAGGTGGATGATAAAAAGTAAAGGTAAAGGTTTCCCTTGCTCAAAAGCTAGTCAAATTCGACTCTGGGGAGTGGTGCTCATCTCCGTTTCCAAGCCGAAGAGCCAGCACTGTCCGAAGATATTTCCATGGTCATGTGGCCAGCATGACTAGACGCCAAGGCGCATGGAACACTGTTACCTTCCCACCAAAGCGGTACCTATTTATCTACTTGCAATGTCTTGCTTTTGAACTGCTAGGTTGGCAGGAGCTGGGGCCCTACATGTATATTCATTCATTAAAAGTGATGTCTGAATCCTTGATTAAAAGGAACATGTGAATTATCCTTACTGTGTATATACTTAATTTGCAGAGAATGAAATCATTTTAATTCCAAGAAGGGGTTCAAAAGTAAACACACATTAATCAGATCATGTCCTACCTTCCACAGCTCTTTTGAAGAATACTTTGCAGCTGCCACAAGTTAGGACACCATAATGACATCCAGAAGCCTCATCTGAGCAAACAAGGCAAAGTTTGGGAGGTGGTCCCGTAGCAGTTGAGGAGGTAGATGGCGAAGTGCTCACATCAGATCTCATTCCAGGACTAAGGAAGTAAACAAAGCACAGAACAATCAAAGTATGGAACACAAACATTTTAAAAAATCTGACTTTTGATTTCAAAGGGCTTTGGTCTGCTAATGAGCCTCCATGGTCAAAAATGGGAAAAAATGAGTTTTTGAGATAGCCATATTTCTTGTAAGTCAAACACTTCACAAGTTTCAAAGTCTTAACAGTCAGTGCCTTTTATACAAAATTCAGGACCGTGTGTGCTCAGTGATGTTCACACTGAAGAAAGTGCACCTGCATTTTTTAAAAAAGTACTCAACTATTACTACAATTATGTGTGTAAAAGTATAGTTTTTCTATTTCCTCCTTGATTAGAAAACAACATAAAAATGGACAAGTACTCTGATACAAGCAGCTTAGCTGAGTTTATGTAATTTTTATCTGAATAAATGGCATTAGGAAGTTAATTGGAAATCTGCCTAGATGCTCTTTTTACAAGTATTGTCTTGAGGCTACAGAATGTCAACAGAATGTTTAAACGCCTGAGTTTATACACACGGTACTTTCACATGGATAAACCACAATACTTCTAAAAAAATTACATAATCTTGGCCCAACAGCAACTGAAACAGTGGTGGCTGTTGAAGAATACTAAAATATAAGATTGTCTGCGAAAGCTAGCAATTTAAATTCTTCTCCCTTTACCTTAAGTCCTTGTATTCTTTTATCTTCTCTTACTTCCCTATTTAAGGTTTCGAATGCGAAAATAAATAACAAAGGTGAAAGCGGACATCCTTGACGTGTTCCTTTCTGTATCTCTATTTTTGGAGCCATATCCCCATTTATAAGAACATTAGCGTACTGTGTATTATATATTGCTCGAATCATTGTGAAAAAGGATATTCCACAGTCCCAGTTCGACAACTTTTGTAGTAGGAATTCCCAAGATAGATTGTCAAAGGCCTTCTCTGCGCCCATAAACATCAAGGCCATTTGTTTTCCTGGGTGCTGTTCATAATACTCTATGATATTCATAATTGTCCGCGTATTTATACTGGAAAATCCGACAATATCTAGCATAGACTTATTAACCACAATAAAAGAATTTGGAGAAAAGGCAGGGCTAAAAATTAACTTTAAAAAACCCTAAAATAACAAAAAAATGTTCACCAAAAATAATTCATGAAATATATAAAGAAACCAAGGTGGAGATAGTGAAAAAAGTTAAATACCTAGGAATAACAATATCTAATAGAAATAGCACACTACTTGAAGATAATTATCACAAGCTGTTGGAAGGGATTAAGAAAGATCTAGCAAGATGGAAAGACTTACAATTGTCTTTAACAGGTAGAATAGCTACTATAAAAATGATGAGACTACCGAAGTTTCTGTTTCTAGCACAGACTATACCCATATTGAAAAATTCTAAAATCTTTATTGCAATGGACAAAATGATTAAAAAAATTATTTGGCACCCAAAAAGGGCAAGATTTAAATGGAAAATATTGCAAGAAAGAAAAGAGAGAGGAGGATTCGGAGTGCCCAATTGGAGGTTGTACTATCAAGCGGCAGCCTTAAGCTGGATAAGAGAATGGATAACCCTAGATAACACTAGAATGTTGAATCTAGAAGGGCACGACCTAAGTATGGGCTGGCATGCCTATATATGGTATGGAAAAGATAAGATACACTCAAATTTTAGACAACATATATTAAGAGGAGCCCTATTATGGATATGGAATGATATTAAAGAAAAATACTATCCGAAAACCCCAAAATGGGTATCACCCTTGGAAGCATATATAAAACCCACTCTTATAAATCCTTGTGATAGAGAAAGCTACCAAACGTTACTAGATGAAAATAACACATTGAAGTCAGAAGAAATTTTGTCAAAGCTATATAAGATAAAATTATCATGGTGGGAAACTATGCAGCTTAAATCCAGATATGCAAAAGACGCGGTAGTGGGATTTCAAGATACTAAAACACAGCTAGATAAGATACGGTTGTCGACAAGCGACAAAATGATTCAGAAAATATATAGATTCCTACTAGAGGAATTTTTATTGGATGAAAGTGTCACTACGACGATGATAGTTTGGATGCAAGATATAGGCCATACGATAGAGCATTGGGAAAATACCTGGAAAACATTGAAATATATGAGAAAATATATAAAGAAAATATATATAAAGTTTACCATCGTTGGTATTGGTCTCCAGACAAGAAAGCCAAATGTCACCCAACAGTATCTAACTTATGTTGGAAATGTAAAACAAAATAATGTTGGGACGCTTTATCACATGTGGTGGCGGTGTATGAGAACAGAAAGGTATTGGAAAATGATACAGAAAATGATTTCTGATATAATGAATGTCAGCTTGGCATTACTGAATATGTTACCGGAGGATTTTAAGCAAATGGAGAAATATTTGTTAGCTTATATATTAACAACCGCAAGGATACAGTTGGCCAGATACTGGAAACAAGACAAATTCCCCACAAGAGAAGAAATAATGTGTAAATTGATGGAGATAGCAGAAATGGACAAATTAAATTTAATTTTACAAGGGAAAGACGAAAATATATTCACTGAAAGATGGGAAAGCCTGTATAACTGGATCAGCAAAATATGGAAATGTTAGACTCAACTGTATAGATGCTTAGTTGTAAAAGATATATTAAGTGGAAAATTGATAAATATTTTAAAAAATAAAAATAAAATATAAGATTGTCTGAGGCAATAACTGCTAATTGCAATTTAACATATGAACTTGCACAGCAAAACTAAATGTTTAGGCTAGCTGAACTGAGAACTCACAAATGAGTTGATCTGAGGCTGTTTTAAAATAAAACCTCATTACTACAAGGTTAGAAACTGACCACACTGTCTATAAGCAATGGCAAAAGAATCTGTACTCTGGGCAATGTTCTGAATCAGATATGCAAATGTTTTAGGACCTGTGGAAGAACAGTTGCTTTTAAACAGTAGTGCCAAAACACTATCCATTCATTTTCTCTCCTTTCACAATACAGTATTTGTTATAACAGTTGTTCATTTTGTGAGGCAAAGCATCCTAATTTCCCCTTATGGGTTAACATGAATATCAGAAGTCCAGTCTGGCTCGCAGGTGTTCATGATCTTTATGTCCCTGTAGTTACCATCCTTATCTCTTTCCAGGCAGGACTGAAGAATGTGGTAATTGGTTAATCATGAGAACCTGCACTCAATTGTGTAACCAGATGGGAGTGGGAATTAGGAGCAGTTGCCAACATCCTCTGGAAAGTTCCTCAGAAGAAGATCCCTGATTGGACCAGAGTGACCACCTGATGCCATAGGGTAGAAAGCTATAATAAAGATATAGGCCAGAGAGAGTCATGCTAATGCCATGCTAGTATGTTGTCGAAGGCTTTCACTGCCGGAATTCATTAGTTGTAGATTTTCCGGGCTGTACAGCCGTGGTCGTGGCATTGTAGGACCTGACGTTTCACTAGCAGCTGTGAGTGGCATCCTCAGAGGTATAACGAAGAAAGATGGAGTACTCTCTGTGTCAAGGGGAGAAGGAAAATGGTAGGCAGGGTAGACTCCTGAACAATTAAATATATATATATATTTAAAGGGCCTGGTTTTCTTATGTGCATCCAACCTCAAGGACACACAGGTCTGGGAAATTGTTCAGAGGTTCCACAAAGGGGACCAGGAGCAATAACCCGGGGGGACCTGGGCCTGGGTCTCTTAACAACCTGCATTTGTTGGTACTAGCTATATCTAAGGGAAAAAAAATAAAATGTGAGCTTATATTGAAAGATTTTACAAGCACAGTTCATGAGAAGTTGACATGTCACTTAACATATGAAAATTATTAATCCAAGTATAAAGTTATGGTTTTCAACTTGATCAGTTTTAAAGGGATTAGAAATATTCATGAAGGATAGCCACAAGCCATTGGCCTCCATGTTTAGAAGCCATATAGTTTTGAGAATCAAATGCTGGAAACAAGATAAGATAAGGGATGGCTAGCATATGAATAATCTTATTTTCCCAAAGAAGTATAGATAGCAACAACTGGCAACAGAATGCTGAAGTAGCCAGAACTTCATTTGATCCAACACATTAATTCTTAAAAAACAATTCTAGTAATTTATACACTTCCAAAATACAATCATATGACCGAAGGCAGTATTATATGGCCAGCAAACCATTCTATAGTACATTCATTAGAATAAAATATAGGAATTGTGCATGTTTGATTAACAGAGTTCTTACAACATCCAGTATCTAGTCTCATGTTCCCTCTAAGCTAGCTCACAGTTTTTTAGCCTCTGGCTCACACATTTTTGTATTAGCTCAGGAAGGATGGCTCCAAGGCAAACTAATTTATGCAGTAGCCAAATTGCTTGCTCACAACTTTAATGCTGGCAGCTCACAAAGTAGAGTTTTTGCTCACAAGACTCCACAGCTTAGAGGGAGAATTGGAGGCTACTTTCAAAAAGATTGCAGTTTTCGAATGAGATGTACATTCACCCCAATAAAAAGAACATATACAGCTTTTACATTAACATGTAACGTTTACCATCAGAAATCTTGATTAATGCCTTATATCTGCACAATGCAGCCACTTTCAATATATAGCTTGGATAATGACACCACCTCTTCATGCTTACCAACACACTTATAAAGCTTCTGTGGATGGCATCCTGTGTTAATCTCTGGCTTTTAGCCTTTTCAGAATGAGCATTTGAAAAACACTGCTTAATGTATACATTACCATCAAATTGTTTTTAAAGAAAATCTGGGATTTTCAATATTGTAAATACATTTGCTGCTAGGATAAAAATGATATTTGAGCAAGGCAACTGGGTGACTGAATATTTGAATCAGGGATGCAAATAACCACTCACATCCAAACTCAAGCCTTTAAAGTAGCCAAGAAATAAAGATGGATTAAAAAGCAGATTCTTTAATACAAAAAACTTAACAGGTTTTTTATTTTTCAAAATTTCAATTGTAGTAAGCACCTTTAAAAAAAT